ATTGATATCATCTATATCTGTGTATGAGCCATTCTCATTCAACTCCTTGCCATCGATGTTACTCACCTAAAAATAATTTGAATAATAAATATTTCAATGAATTAAAAATAGAAATCTGCTCTATCTCATTCGGTTCAATCCTTCGATAATCAAGAAGTACGATTGTCCTAAAGCTATTATTATACAAAATAATAGTGCAAATACATAGTTTGAATATTTAAATTGTTGTTTATTTTTCTCCAACAAAAAAGTACACTTCAAAGAAAATTTTTTTTTTCCTTCATTAAGGTTCTTCAATGTACTTGACAATGCTTACAAAGTAACACCTATTGATATGTCTAATGAGTTTTACAGTCAATTTGTCAGTATCAACAAATTCATTTAATGAATACTTATGTAATATTACTCAGGTGACTTTCGAGGGCAGCTCTATTGTAAATATATAAATAAATAGAATCCAAGTTCGTTATTTTTTGTTTGCTTACTATTATTTTGTCATGCGTAACAGAAGAAAAAAGCGTAATGATTACGCGCGTGCTCTCAATTGCGCAATTTTTGACAGGTATGATTATGTAATATGTATGAGAATATCAAAATATATGCGTGATTAAAGACGTGATCATATATTCCACGTGATGCTTCCAAAAGACGATTTACGAAGATGATCAAAATGACGTTGTTTTTTTTTGTATACTGACTCGTATAAATATCGAAACATATTTGATTAGATCAATAAACATTATCTGTTTCGATAAGAATATACAAAAATAATGCTACTTGATACACATAAAATATCGCTAATTTATGATTTTTGGAAGTTGAATAATGAAGAAAATTATCTCCATGATGTCACTGAATTATCACGTAAATTGACAGAATCTGATACAATTGATGGTAAGTTATATTATTACTTTTTCATATACATTTCTTAATATGCTTATAGCTGAATATATTCGTGATTGGGTCCCTGATCTTGTACGTCTTGTTGAATTATGGGAAAAACAATCGTTAAATGAATTGGATAAATTTTATGCAGACTTACTTACAGACAATTCTTTTAGTGACAAAGTTGATGCTCTATTACGTTTTCTTTATGATATTCAATCTTATGAAATGGTTAAATATTTACTAGAAAAGAATGTTGAACATTATAAAAAGGATAAAATTGTGTCGTCAACAATGAGTGCTTTTCATGAATCGTGTATATATGGTTTTAGTCAAGTATGTTTATTATTTATTCGAAATAAACAAGATGTCAATGAAACATTTTCATTAATATATGAAAATTTTAAAACAAATAAAAAAGAAGTTGTTCGTAATTTAACTGCACTTCAACTTGTTTGTCTTTGGTCAAAATATTTTCCTAAACGACTTCCATCATATGCACATACGGCTCGTTTATTATTAAATCATGGTGCACAAGTTAATATGACATCAACAGAATCAACAACACCACTTCATTGGGCATGTCGAGCAAAACATACAATACAAATAGCACAAGATCTAATTGAACATGGTGCATGTATTAGTGCACGTGATCAACTTAATATTCAACCAATTCATTATGCATGTTGGGCAAGAAATCAAAGCTTAATTGAACTTTTACTTTCAAAAGGTGCACAACTTACTGATGAAGATAATTTCGGTCGAACACCAATTCATTTTCTTTGTATGCCAACATATGTTGAAACAATAAGCACGGAAGATCAAGAACAACAATATGATTTAATGAAATTTATATTAAATAAATATGAAAAAAATAGTCATCTTATTGATTTAACAAAGGAAGATAGTCAAGGTCATACATTGATAGCATATGCATGTGTTAGTCAAAATCTTTCACTATTGGAACTTCTTCTTGAACATCATCCTGATTTATTAAATAAACCAACTAGTGATGAAAAAACACCATTAATGATTGCTATTAATGAAAGTTTTATAAATGGTATTGAATATTTACTTAAACAACCTGGCCTTGAAAGAAATGTTTGTGATAAAGCCGGTAATACAGCTATACATCATGCATGTATGTGTGTAAATACTTCAATGCGTGAAACTGTTCTTCGATTATTAATTGATGATACAAATGGTACATTCGATCTTGAAAAACGAAATGAACAATTAATTGATCCATTCATGGTATGTACAGTAAATCAATCAATTGATTTGTGTCGTTTATTAATTGAAAAAAATGTTACATTAACAAAAAAAGATCTTTTTTCAAGACAACCTCTTCATGTTGCATGTCAAATGGGTAATTATGATTTAGTATCATTACTCATACATTCTCCAAATGTAAATATAAATGCAATAGATGATAACAATCGAAACTGTTTATTTTATGCAATAAGTTGTGGTGATGAAAAAATTGTTGATTTATTACTTGAAAATAATGTAACTATTAAAATTCGAGATCGTGTTGGTGATACACCATTACATTTAGCTGTACAACATAAAACAAATGCATTTAAATTAACAAGTAGCCTTTTAGAAAAACAAGATGGAAAGGCTTTAATTAATGAACCAGCAGCTGATGGAATGAAACCACTTTTATTAGCAGCAGAAGGTAAACAACCAGAAGTTGTTTATCTTTTAATTAAAAATGGTGCTGATGTTAAAGCTGTTGATAGTGAACACCAAACAGCATTACATTTAGCATGTAAAAGTGATTGTATGAAAAGTGTTTTTTATCTTATTGAATTCGGAAATTTAAATGTTAACGAACTCAATTGTTATCGACAAACACCAATATTTCATGCTTATGCTGTTAATGATTTTGATCTTGTTCAATATCTTGTATCATGTGGTGCACGACTCGATCTTCGTGATAGTCAAAATTATTTACCAATTCATATGGGCTTAATATTATCTGAACATGAAGATTATAATTTGAATCTAATTGATCTATATAAAAATAAACATGTGAAATTACTTGATGATGAAAATAATGAATGTCACATGACACCCTTAATTTTAGCATGTATGCAAGGTAAATTTAATGTTGTTAAACATTTAATATTAAATTACAAAGTAAATGTATTGGCAAAATGTTCAAATGGACATACACCATTACATTATGCCTGTTTACTAAAAAACCCAAAAGCATTAGACATAATTGAGTTTTTAATGGACCATGGATGTACATATGAAAAAGTTGATCAACCAAAAGGAACATTTTTATTTACAATCATTCAACATGGTGATCGAAAAGCTGCTATGTTTTTTATCAATCATTGGCTTGTAAGTTAATGTTTATTTTTTTGAAATATGATCCAAAACACTTTTAAAAAAGTCCTCTTTCCTCTGTTACATATCATGACAAATACTATAGTATAACTGCTACCTTCTCCTGGATTAGAAGAGGTAAAAGTTTACTGCGAGATTTATATAAAAGATAGTTGAATTTAAAATACTTAGGTCAAGGATTATGGCGTTCAGCTCTATTATTTCTCAAACAGAAGTAGATATGGATATGTTGGTCCTGAGAGGATCGAGACCAACACTTACTCATTGAAAATGATATCTTTTATGGTCATGTAAGACTTGCATCAAATGTCATATTCTCCTAACTTATATATTCTAAAATTTTATGTGAAAATTATTGAGTAACGATTATTTCAATATTTGCTTTTATGATTTTGATAGTAAAATTAATCCTTTCTTTTTTTTTTTTTATTAACAACAAAGTTTTCGAAAATATAAACGTGCAGAATAAACAAACTATTAGTAATGAGTCTCCAAAAGAGAGAACATTAAAAGTAATGCAGATGTCCCTAGCGCATGGACATAGCTAGAATATTGAGATTGCATTTTGCACTAGTACGTGTATTACTAAGTGTGAAACTAGAACCAAAAACTATTAGTTCCACCTATCATTAGTTAGAAGACTTCAGAAAAAGATAGAAATTTAAAAGCAGTGTTATAACGATTATGCCTGACGGCCGGCTCTGTAAGGTTAAGGCCGTTTCCAACCGAATGTAGCAGAATTCGATGATTCGACCCGGACATCATATTTCCTGTTTTCATCTTTCGCCCATTTTTTTGAAATATTTCAAGCAAAACCTACCGTATATTATTCATATGTGTAGCTTTGCTTTTTC